CAGCCACACTGCTGGGCACAGTCACCAGAATAAAAAAATAACTAAAATCTGCTTATGGTAGAAGGTCCAACTGTACAAAAGCTGGGATGATTTGAAAGTTGTCCCTAATGTATTTTCTGACATCAAATATTACAGGATTGTGTGTTTATATTACATTTCAGTATATGTTAAAAAAATAGTAAGGCAAAAATAAATTAAAGCTACTAGACAGATATTTCTCCAGTATGGTATGGTAAAGATCAGAAGTATCAAAAAAAAAAAAAAAAGATCAGAAGTATCACAACACTTACGGCATTTGAAAAAGCATGTCCTCCCACACCTTGCTGGCAGGAGCATAAAATGACATCATCTTTTTGGAGAACTATTTGGAATTATCTATGCAAATTACAAATGCACATGCCCTTTGAGCCTATGTCTTAACTTTCAGGAATTTATCCTATGGACAAAGGCAAAAATAATGTACACATACAGGATATTCACTAAAGCATTTCTATAGATGAGATAACATAAATGTCCAAAAGTTATGGGACATTCATACAGTGGAATATTATGCAGCTGCATAAAAGAATTTGGTAGCTCTTTATAGACTCATACAGAACAATCTCCATGGCATGTTGGTTAGTTTAAAAAGCAAGTTTCAGGACAGTATTACTGCCCTGGTTTTGTTGTTGTGGTTCTGTAAATATATATGATATGCTTGCAAATACATAAAATGTCTCTAAAATGGCACACAAAATACAAACAACTTTGGTTACATCTAGGGAAAAGAACTAAATACCCAGGAGATGGAGAAAGGCTTGCTTGTGTAGCTTTTGGACTTTAAACCATTATTTATATGATTATTAACCCTCAGAACATATCAATTTAAAAGGGTCATATTCATACACAAAAAGCTTTCAAATTATTGATCTGGAAGACCTCTCAAGATTTCTTCCAAACTTGAGATTCTATGCTATTCTAAAATTTCAAAGTTTAATGAAAAAAATGCTATGCTTGTCTTTATTCCTTTTCCACAATCAGTACCTGATAATCATTCTTTGATTTAAAACTTTTTTCCTCATTTCTAGCACAAGATCCCATCCTCCTCAACTAAGAGTTCCACCAGCTGAAGTCCAAGGCCTTATGTCACACAGCTCTTCAGTTTATGCAACAGAAGATATATGCCTGGAAGGTTATATTCTAAATTGTAATATAAACAGTAGAATTTATTGTGCCAGAATAATAATTTTTTTCTAAAAGATGCTGTCATAATAAATAGTATAGGAGAATTTAGCTGCCTTCTAGGGCTTTTTGTTTCATCTAGTTTAGGAGCTAGGACATGTTTATATGAAAAAATAACTACCACACTAGGAAGGATATTATAGACAGCAAATACATAGTACAAATAAGCAATCCTTCAAGAAATTCAAAGAAAACATCACATCTACTAAGGCAGGCAGGAAAAGCTTCAAAAAAGAAACAGAATCTGAGTTGGGCTTGACGGATGATCCAATTTCAATAGGCAAGGGACTGCACAGTAAGGAACACTGGAGTGGTTCAGGAACAAGTGAGCGGACCAGTCTGGACAAACGGAGGCTGCAAGTGGTCGGGAGTGTTCCTAGCTCCTGGAAGCCCACATAATCAGTCCCTGACGCCTGCCTGTATCCTTCTGATGCCCCGGATTTATTATGAGTCTTCCTAATATTTCCCAGAGTGGTCATTTCTTCTCCATTCTCACCACCTCAATACAACCCACACCCTCATTCCCTCCCTCTGCAAAGATCTCCAAACTCATCCTCCTGTTTCCCATCTTCACCATCCCAATTCACAGTACACAACTCATGACATTTGTTATTTTATATGCATAACCCACTCACCTCAAATGTGCCAACAGCTAACTACTGCCTACAAATAAAATCATTCTCTTTCTCATTCGAGGCCTTTTAACATCTGCTCTCTATCCACCTCTCACTCCATCACTGGACTCACACTCTCTAATATGCAAATTTCATGCCTAGGCCCCTGCTCTTCCTTTTACCTGGAAAATATTCCTTAATTATGTTCTCAGGTGGGGCACACATAGTTGTAAAGATTGTGAACACTACAGTTCATATAAATGACACCCCCCCACCACCACTGTTGGGCAGTATACAACCTCTGCAACCTTCCAAAGATGACTTGTTTCCAACCTCCTCCTCCACTTTGAAGGCCAAATTGTGTGCCAGAACAATCAGTTGTGCCTCTGATTCCTGTATCACCAACTTAACACCATTTCTTTACTTTTTAAAAAAAAAAGTTACAATATTTGGAATACTAACAGTGCCTTGAACACAGCAGATACTCAAAAAAGATGCTTGCAAATGATGACGGGATAAGTAAAGAAAGGCAGATTGTGGGGGCACCTGGGTGGCTCAGTCAGTTAAGCATCTGCCTTCGGTTCAGGTCATGATCCCAGGGTCCTGGGATCGAGCCCACATCTGGCTCCCTGCTCAACATGGAGCCTGCTTCTCCCTTTCCCTCTGCTGCTCCCTCTGCTTGTTCTCTCTCTCTCTCTGTCAAATAAATAAATAAAATCTTTTTTTAAAAAGAAAAGGGGAGGGGCGCCTGGGTGGCTCAATCGTTAAGCGTCTGCCTTCGGCTCAGGTCATGATCCTGGGGTCCTGGGATCAAGCCCCGCATCGGGCTCCCTGCTCGGCGGGAAGCCTGCTTCTCCCTCTCCCACTCCCCCTGCTTGTGTTCACTCTCTCGCTGTCTCTCTCTATCAAATAAATAAATAAAATCTTTAAAATAAATAAATAAATAAATAAATAAAAAGAAAAGGGGGGAAAAAAGAAAGGCAGATTGGGGTGAAACCATAAAGAGCCTTAAAAGCCAAGAAAAAAGTTTTGGCTTTATCTTGTAGATGCCAAATATGGTCAGATGATCAGAATGTTTTAAAAAGACTAATTTCAGCAACTACAAGCAAGCAGGGTTTGAGAGACTATTGCCAAAGTCCCAGTGTAGAGGCCCTATCAGCTGGAGGAGGCCTATGGGAGGCTCCCTCTGTGACTTCCAGCCTCCTCAGCTGCTCACTCATCCTTCAGCTTATCTGTTTGGGATTACAGAGGTTGGTTTTCATATACCTACACTTGGAGAGTAAACCTTAAAACAGGACCTTTAAGCCAAGAAAAACATGCTTTTGCCTGAAATATCTGGGTATCTAGGAAACAGTTCTGACTTGGATTATTACATGCATATATAAAATACATATACACAAATCAAGCAAATTTCTTCTTCCTTCACTTCTTTTGCAGTCCCGGGAAGTCTAACTCAATTCTCCTGTTTCCTTTGCTAATGTAGCTTGAACTTTCACTAACCTTAGAATTCCACAATTACTAGTGAATCATTTCAAGGCGAGTTATGGCTCATTTTCCTATGGTCCTCTAAAAGAATCAAGGGCACTTAGGTATTTAGATATATAAATTCATTTCATTGTACTGATGGAATACTAAATAAGTAATTCTTATCTGTAAATCAAAAACTCAGAACAGAATACATTAAACAAAATTAGTTTACTAATGAATTTCCTTTTAAAGCATGTATCTTGGATTTCATGCCAAGATATCAATATACCAGTAATGGACTCTGTGGAACTAGACAATTTTATTTACCTCTTAGATTAAAAAACAATCTTCACTCTCCAAAGGAAGAATATTATGTGCAAGTAATGCACTGCAACCTCAAGACACATAATATCATTGGAAACATGTACATGTCTATCAGGAAAAGATTATCAGACACAACCTAATTTTAAAAATGAATGGGGGAAAAATAAATAAATAAAACCAATAAAAATGAATGGAGGGGGGCCTCTTAAAACAGTATCCAAGGGGCACCTGCGTGGCTCTGTTGGTTAAGTGTCTGACTTCGGCTCAGGTCATGGTATCTCAGTGTTCTGGGATGGAGCCCCCACATGGGGCTCCCTGCTCAGCCGAGAATCTGCTTGTCCCTCTCCCTCTGCCTCTCCCCACACTTGTGCTCTCTCTCTCCCCCAAATAAATAAAAAAATTTTTAAGTGAATAAAAAATTTAAAAAACAGCATCAAAAGTAAAACAGAATATACAATTTTGTGTTTGGGCCCAAAGAGACTGTCTGCCTTGAAATCCAACTTTACTGTTTATTCTTCCTACCAAACATGCAAAATAAACTCACCAGTACTAAAAACAGAAGTATGTTATCTCTATTGAAAGGTAAACACGATAAAAGTAAAGATTAAAATATTTTCTTTCATCCTAATAAACTGAAAAGAAAAAACTATTAACTACTCTAATACTGTTTCAGGATTTGGAGCAGTTTAAATGTTTCTTCTTTTCCAAGGTAGTGATTTTTTCCCTCCCCATACTGAAGATCCTTCTGAAAGTCACAGTGTCTATCTTTGGTACCAAACGATGGACAGGTGCTTTGCTAACTCCATTGGAAAAGAAAAGAGAAAAGGGCACAGACATCCATTATTTAGAGTCTATCGTTAAGTTAATTTCCTTTAGAATCTAATAATTCCATTAAAGTACGTATTATGCAAAGTGTATACAATTTGTGGCCTGTATATAGTAGATCATATTTCACCATAACCAACTTCATCTTTTCAAACACCACCAAAAATTGGCAAATAATTCAAGTTGCTCTTAGCCCAAGGTTAAATTGTTGAATACTAACAATAAAAGTTTAGGGACATCTAGTTAACTGGTTTCTATTTGCTCAAAAGTAAACTAAAAGATGTGAAGCTTGTTTATCTCTACCTGCCCTCCCCATGCCTGGCGATTCGCCCTCAAGAGGATAGTCTAGTGTACGGACCACAGCCGCCTGGTGCCAGGAAAACAGGAGCGGGAAGTGAGGGCCAACCCGTCCCCTGGCTGGCCTCGCTAGGCCCGGAACTCGGCCTGGCTCGGCAGCCCGGAGACAAACAGGACGGAGACGCGGCCGACGGACGGAACGGACAGACGCGACAGGACGGACGGGACGGGCAGAGAAGCAGTGCGTCCTACCCGGAGGGCTCCCTCCCAGGGCCGGCGGAGTACCTGCTCCGGTCATCCAGGCTGCGGTTGTCGGCCGCCGCGGCGCGCCAGTCGGGCAGTGTGCTGGCACACAGCACCACCATGGACACAATCACGAACACGACCGACACGCTGGCCAGGATTTGCGCGGCCAGCGACGACGTAGGCTCCTCGAAGGTCCGCCGCATGCGCTCGAGCCAGCGCCTGGAGTGGGCCGCCTCGGCACCGCCGGGTCGCGCCTCGTCGCGGCCCAGCGCGCCCGGCTCGTCGGCCGAGTAGAAGGTGTAGGTGTCGGACATGCGGTCGTCGAGGCGGCGCTGGCAGCAGTATTCTAGGTGCGCGCCCTCCAGGCCCCAGTAGATCATCTCGTTGTAGAAGGAGAGCTCGCACATCCGCGGCGCGAAGCGCAGCTTGCCGTGGCCGCGCACGTAGAGCAGGATGAAGCCGAAGGCCTCCGAGTGCCGGTCGAAGAAGTACTCGTTGCGCTCGCGGTCGTAGTCGTCGCACACCTCGAGCACGTCGCGCTCCGAGCGGCAGCCGTGTAGCCGGCTCACGCGGCGCAGCGGGAAGTCCTTCAGCAGCTCCCGGGACAGCGAGTACCGGGCGCCGCCCACGTTCAGCACCACCGAGGCCGCCCCGCTGCGCCCGAAGGTCATGGCTGGCCGCCCCGAAGCCCGAGGCCGCCGCCGCCGCCGCCCCCCCACCCCCGGCCGCCGCGCGGGGCCTGGCTGCAGTTGGCCGATAGGGGAGCGCGCCGTCGGGGCCAGCGGGCTGGCGGGCGGGCTCTGGCTGCGGTCTCTGCTCCTGCCCCTCGCTGGCCCGGAGACCCCTCGGCTCTAGCGTCCTCGGCGGTCCAGCGTTGCTGCTAGCGACGCTCCCTCGGCGCGGTGGCACCTGCAGGTGGCCGGGGAGTCCCCTCAGGCGCCAACGCTGCGCGCCCACTGGCCGGGAACGAGGCTGTCAGCGCCCGGGGATGCCCCCTGTGAGGCCGGGGTGTCCTTTCAAACGCTGGCGCGGCCCCCCCCCCACGAGGGGCGCGGGCGCCGGGAGGAGGCGCGGGTGCGGGATGGCTCCCCGTCCCCGGCGCTCCCTCTGGCCGCCGCTCCGGCAACCGCCCCGCCGCCGTCCAGAGGCGAGAGGCAAAGTGAGCGGATTCCGAGGCGGCGGAGAGCCGGTTCCGCGAGGCGGGGGCGGGGCCTCCTCGCGGTTCCCCCTCCTCGCCTCCCGACTCCGCTCGGCTCACCTCCCTCCGCGCGCCGCCCTCCTCTTCCCACCCGCGCCCGCACCTCCCGGGCTCGCTCGGCTGGGATTCCCCGGCGCCCCGCCCTGGACCTCGGGCTCCCCGCCTCGTGACGCGGTCCTCCCCCTCCGCTCCCGCCCGCCGCGGCCAGGAGGGGTCCGCGGGGCGGGGAAGGGAGCAATGGGGAGTCCCGCGGCCAGTGTGCCTGTTCCCGCGTGCAGCCCCGGGCCATCAGGGGTGACTTGGGCAGCTCCCGAGGGCCCTTTTAACAGCCCCCCAAAGGGAAGCGACCGAAGAGTAAGGAGGGCTGAGGACTGGGGTGCAGGATTTGAGGGGCGGGGACAGACGGCGTTTGGAGAGCTTTTTCCAGAAACTATCCGGCACTCAGCTCGGTTTCTGAGACCGCCCTAAGGGATTTCTCAGAGAAGGCGCCCCAGCAATTGCTTTTCTTGCCGACTTGCTTTTCCTCCCGCGGCGCGGAGACCCACGTACCGCGTGCTCCGAAGGCGGCCACACACCCCAGCACCCAGGCTTGGTGTCGCCCTCCCGTCTGTCCTCCCGGGGGCGGGGGTGGAGCGGCCCCAGCCCCTGCTTTCTGGGGCGCGGGTCCTAAAAGGGCGCCTTCGTGTAGCGCGTCTGGACCACCCCCCCCGTGACGCTTCCTGTAGAATGGGTGAAAGCGGGGAGAATCGCTCTGCCACTGGCAAGAACAGAATTTTCCCGTAGCCTTCGTCTGCGTCCTCCTTTTCATTATGTCTTGATTTCCCCGATGCACCCCAGAACCGGCTGCAGCTCTGGCTCTCGGAGCTCGAAAAGCCCTTTAAAGGCTCCTCAGAGCGAACTGCCGTGCGCTCCGGTCGATGCCCAGGGAGTGGGTTCCGTTGGCAGGGATTATTTTAAACTGCTACCATCAATTCACACGACATCCGACACCCGCAGCCCAGCCCGCGCCGTGCCCGCCAGAGGCGAAACAGGTGAGTTATAAGGCAAACTATGTTAAATGCAAAACAAATGCTGGAAGGAAAAATAGGGGTGGGGTGGGATGGGATGCGGTCATCTGACCTCATAGTAACCCAGCTGGTTACTGGGGAGGGTTTTACTTTGCCCTTCACTTTTCATAATTTTGTAGGATTGTCCCATGCCCACTAGAGGTCACCATAAAGAGTCATTTTGCTTTGATTCTATTGCAGATTCCTAGCTTAAAAAGCAGACACCTAAAAATTGAAGTGCTGTCCCTCCTCTCAAAGTAAAATCACTCTGGGTGGTTTCTTAAAGAATGGAAATCTCTATATGTTGTTTATCCCTTGACTTGGATAACTTATCTTAAAAGCACTTAATGTGATTAAAAGCTCAAAAACAAAAGTTGTTTATTTGCAAAGTAGCTACTAAACCAGGAAAACATCCTGAAGGAAATGAGTTTCAAGATAGAATGGAAGGAGGTGATGGTCATGAGCAGGCAGAAAGAGCAGAAAAGCACTCCAAATAGCCGAATCTCAGATGTAAAGGATTAGTCTTTAAAGAAAGCTAATGCATTTGCTTGGCTCGGAGGACCCGGATCTTGACAGCAGAATTTAGATTTCAAAGTATAAGTAATGGGATGCCTGAAGGTTTTAATAATAGAAATGGCTTGATGAAAGCTCTAATCAGAAAGATTCTTTTGCCCTTTAGTTTATTCTATGCAGAAAACCATTTTTGCAACGCAGGATTGGGAACCCCACCCCCAAATCTTTGTACAAGAGGAAGGATGAGTTCTTTCTTTATTTCTCTCTCTCTCTCTCTTTTTTTTTTTTTTGGAGCAAGGGTCAGTTTTGAGAAACACTGAGGCCAAGGACTGAGCAGGGCTTGAAAATGGATTTGTTATAGGATATGAGGATGGAGAAAAGTTTGCAGATGTGAGCGGAGAGAAGAGCCTGGCTTCACACCAGCAGGAGCCAGTTCCTCAGGGAGTTGTTAAAAATACTTTACAGAAGCATCACAGCAACAGAACACAGAACAACTATTTTGTTGATTATTTGCTCCGTTATATTTATTTCCTGTGTTCTCTATCTAAAATCTCTTTAAAGTCTTGATTAAACCAGTTGAAGAAATATCACATTTTAAATTAAATTTGAGCTTAGAAAACAAATTAATTTGATGATAATTTGTGCCTCCTAGGTATATTTTCATAAAATTTCTTAGAGAGATAGGTTTAAATAACCATTTGTTTCAAGAGTAATATGTTTATTTGATTTTAATATCATCAACCACTACTGCAGTAGCAATACCCGAATCATGGTTTTTTTCCCCAAAAAATCATGTTCTTACACAAACAGTGAGATGCAGAAATGATTGGCTTGTCTCAATATAATCAGGTTTAGAAAGTATTCTTAAAAACTGTTCTTAGAATTATTAAAAATTGTATTCCTTTGTACTTTGAGAAGATTATGTTGAGAATCATTTCATCTAAATTCTTTTCTGGATTCTGGATGACATTTGGGGCCTTCATATATAAATCTTTAGAATGCATTAAAATTTAAAGGCACCAGGCAGAATTTTAGAATTTGAAAGAACCGAGAGATTTTCTAGTCTCAATTTATCAAGCTTTATTTAGGGAAGTGTAACAAGTTTTCCTTACCGAGATGTGGCTGTAACTTGGGAGAGGTGGTTCGGTTCCCCTTAGCAGCATCATGGTAGAGACTAGGCTGGAACAAAGTTTTCTACTTCCAGACTCGGGTCCCTCCATCTCCAGGGCCGGTCTTGCTGCCACAACCTTCCATCTGATCTCTTGGTGGCACTCCCGTTCTTTCCTCCCTCTGTGAATCCTGTACTATGCCACCAGGCAGCTCTTCCTTCTGTTCATTCTCATCAAGCCGTTCCCCAGTTCAGAACCTAAAAGGACTGTAAAACTGTAGAATTACAAACTGTCTGTATAATGGCGTCCAAATTGGTTATTAGGGCCCTCCCTTACTAAGTGACCTGGAACAAATTCTTTGAGCCTCAGTTTTCTCATCGGTAGAATGGAGGTAATAAGTATAGCACTCGGTGATATGAGGGTTGCGTGAGGTGATGCGACGGTGGTATACAGCTCAGTGCATGATCCTGGCAAAATCATACTCCGGGTGTGCTTTCCCTAGCCCAATCAAGCCATGCTCATTCTCATTCCTGGGTTCTAAAATAAATACGAATCAATGCATCTGAAAATGTGACCGATCACAAATAGTAACCTAAAACATCAAAAATTCAGTGAAAAGTTGTGACCCTCACAGTGCCGAGTCTGGATGGAACACGCATTCTTCCATTACTTTGCATTGTATGACTGGTTGAGCTCAGGGACTCTTGAACACCCTGCCGCAAAGCTTTATAAGATGAAATACCTTGAGGGCACTATCCATCTTTGCTGCTTACTTATCGACTCTGCTTTAAAAAGCCCTCACTCTTGGGGCACCTGGGTGGCTCAGTCAGTTAGCCGTCCAACTCTTGATTTCAGCTCGGGTCTTGATCTCAGGATCGTGAGTTCAAGCCCCACAGTGGGTTCCACGCTGGGTATGGAGCCTACTTAAAAATAAGTAAATAAATAATAACAAAAAGCTCTAATTCTGCTGTTAATTCGTATTTCCAAGTGTTTATGGTTAGACCAGCTTATTTCTCAGCATCTGCAAAACCAGTGGATGCTTTAAAAAGTCAGCTTTTTTTTTTTAATGGAAATGTAGCCTTCCAATGTCTCTGATTTTATATAAATGAAAGACTCAGATGACTTCACCTACTATGCACAATTACCCAAGTAGAAGGTAAAGCTGCAACTTTTAATAACCTGCCCTCAGAACCATCCCACCAAATGGACCCCGTTCTTAAGTGAGAAACCAGCAGAGGGGTCATTCACCCCTATCCGAACACCAATGCCTTTGCCTTATTCTCTGCTCCAGGGCAGTTTGTAGTCATGAAAGCAAAAGGAACACTATCGTCCTTAAATCTCCAGCTTTGAGAGGGTCAATGTGTAATCATTACAGGAGAGGCAAAATTTTACCTCTAACCTCTTAGGGTTTTCTACTGGGCCTGAGAATTAGGTTGATATGACAGATTAGCCGAGAAAGGCATACAAATTTATTTAAGTTTTATGTGACCCAGGAGCCCTCCTGAGGAAATGAAGACCGAAAGAAGTGGCAGAACCTAAATGCTTTTATACTACGTTGAACAAAGAAAGGCAGTTGCAGAAAAGTTACTAAAATATATGGGGAGGCAAAAGGAAGAGAGGAATTCTTTTGACAAAGTCGGCTTGTATGGAATTCTCTCAGCCTCAACTTCTGAGAGATGATAAAAATGGTACTTAACCTCCTGGTATGGGGAGGATATCTTCCATGTGGGGGTTTCATCTCCTGCTTTTAGGAAGAAAAGGGGACAGGGTCAGAGCATCCTTCTTGTACCTGATGCTTTTGTAAGTGCTTTTAGCTCAAAATAATCCTTATGCCAAAGTGGCATATTTTGGGGTGGCATATTCTGCTGCCCTTCATCATTAACAGCAAAAACCTTTGTGGTGCCATTTACAGAATGGCCCTTCTTTATCCCCACCAAGCCCTCACTCCCGCACACTATGTTGGATTGTGATGTAATGGCCTCTCCCCACCACCACTCTGTGTCCCTTGCTCCTTACAGTAACTCAGAGCCCTTTCTGTGTGGCACCACAAGCTCAGCTTTCCATAAAAACTTCTTACTGTAACCCTCATGGTCCAGATGAGGAAATGAGGCTTCAAGAGGTTGGACTTGCTCAAGGACCCATAGCTGCTAGGAAGCACTAGACCCAGTACCAAAATCCCAAGTCATGCAAGCTCTCTTGCCTGCCATGCTGTCTCACCACCGACTCCCCTCTCTACCAAGCATCAAACACCCCTGGGGAGGGAGGAACAAGGTAGGTTAATCCAGAGACAACATTCTGACAGATCTTGAATGGGGGTCATTCTACAAGATAACTAATCTTCAAAGCGTCACTTTCAGGGGTGCCGGGATGGCTCAGTTGGTTAAGCGTCTGCCTTGGGCTCAGGTCATGATCCCAGAGTCCTGGGATGGAGTCCCGCGTTGGGCTCCCTGCTCAGCGGGGAGACTGCTTCTCCCTCTCCCTCTGCTGCTCCCCCTTCTTGTGTGCATGCTCTGTCTCTCTCTCTCTCTGTCAAATAAATAAATCTTTAAGAAAAAGTCACTTTCATACCCTGAAATATTTAAGTAGGAGATGATACAATGTCTGATATTTGCTTCAAAACAATCAAGGGCAGGGGCAAGTGGATTGAGGATGTAGATGAAGCAAGATTAGCTGTGAGTTGATAATTGTTGAAGCTGAGTGATGGGAGTTCCTGATATTAATCTCTCCCTCTTTGTATTTATTTGAAATTGTCCATAATACAAAAATAAAAATTTTAAACTTTGAGCTTCATTTAAGCTTATTTTTTTAAAGATTTATTTATTTATTTGAGAGAGAGAGAGAGCGAAAGAGGGAACACAAGCAGGGGGAGTGGGAGAGGGAGAAGCAGGCTTCCCGCCAAGCAGGGACCCCGATGCAGGGCTCGATCGCAGGACCCTGGGATCATGACCTGAGCCGAAGGCAGATGCTTAACCAACTGAGCCACCCATGCACCCCTAAGCTTATTTTTGAATGTTGACAATTACTCCTTCAGACCAGACCAGAATGCACTTTTTCACAATGCCTGTCATAAAGAGGCCCTCTCGTTTCTACAGAGTGTAAAAAAGCTCAGCACGCATTTGACCATGTCTATTAAAATTTTAAATGCACACACCTAGTGGTCCTGCAATTTTAACAACAGGAATTTATCCTACAAATAAATTTACATATATCATAAATATGTACATTTAAGGATTATTGCATCGTTTTCAATGGCAAAAGTCTAGAAATTATCTAAATGTCCATAATTAAGGAACTGATTATTTAAATAATACAGCATATACAGGTTCATATAGAACCATTTCTAAGTCAGGGCACCTGGCTGGC